TCCAGCCCCCAATCCTGGTTTGGGCCACTGTCACCTCTCACCAGGACCACCAACTCCCTACTGGCCTCCCCGCCTCCAGGCTCCCCGCCTCCCCATCCCCATCTTCAGCCCCCATGGATGAGCTTCACACAGGCACAGACCTCGCCTCCTCATCCCTGGGAGACCCCAGGCCTGGTGAGCTGCCCCCTCCTCTGCTCCCACACTTCAGGATGATCTACCTGCTACAAAAGACACCCCACTCTATCCTCAGTGCCTCTCACGTGCAGTGCTCTTTCTAGCCTCCTGGCCTTTGCACCAGCTATGATGATGTGACACACTTCACCTTCTCTCTAAAGCTGTCACCAAGCTAAGGCCTGCCTGGCCTCAGGTCCTGGCTGCCCCCTGGGTACTTGAGGGCAGGGTGACTTCAGTGTCCCTTCCCAGTCCTGGCCTGGCCCCAGGGCTTCACACGCTCATCCTTCTCTGCTTTCCTTTCTAGCTTTCTGCTTGTGCCCACAACTGTGAGCCCCATGAAAACATGAACTTGGGTGTGTCACTTGCCAGCGTCCACCTATGAAAGAAAAAAGCAGCCATGACAGCCGTAAGCTGCCCTCCCCTCCCTTCCCCTCAGCTAGGCCATGGTTGCTTGGGGCTGGCCCGGCACGGTCTGGTCTTTGTGGTCCGGTTGAACACAGACAGTTTCATGGAATATCAGCATTGGACTAGGCCATTTGTCAGCAGGATGGATCAAGACAAGAACAAGGCCAGCCTGTGATCATGTCTCAATATAGACAAACTCTAACATTTTCAAAGCAGGAAAACAATCAAACATCACCCATCCAGCTAATCCGAGTGATAGCTGCTTCTTTACCAATGGCTGCTTTGGTTTTGCCCTAGTTGACACCTCCCCAAAGATAAGACTTAGTGAGACGCTCAATGATAGAGTTATCCCTTCTTCCTGACAGCTTCTAATACAGACCAGAACCTCACTTCCTTAAACCCTTTCCCGAAACACCAAACACAAGCCCAGTTCCTTAACAATCTCTTTCTAAAGCCTCTTCCCGAGTCACCCCACAGTCCTGCTGCACTGCACAGAGCATAACTCCATCCGTTCAATTTTAGGTGAGCTTCCGGAGGTTGCTGGCTGGCGGCCACTGATACCCAAAAATTACAGTGCCCGGATCAGGACATGGAATTCTTTGCTGAATGAACAAATTGACCCGTTGGAGGGAAAGACCTGTTCCGATTTCTATTCCAATAGGGGGCTTCCAGAGTGCACAGTTGAGATGCCGCCCCTCACTGCCTCTGTCTTCCTTCCTGCCCCCGGTGAGCTCCACAGAGAAAGCACACTACGAGGAATCAGGGATGTAGAAAAATTCTCTTCAACAAACTTCAAAAAAGGGTCTAACTCCTTTGTTATGAGTAACTTTGCTACTCAAGGGGCATGATCCATGGGCCAGCAGCATCGGCGTCATTTCTTGTTGGAAATGCAGAATCTTTGGCCCCAGCCTTAACCTGTTGAATCCCAATCTGCCTCTCAGCAAGATCCCCAGGCATGGGGACGTGCAAAAAAAGCCCAGCTGGTGAAAATATTTTTGTTTTCATGAAGTTTGTAGAGAAAGCAACATCTTCTAGGACCGTCTCCCCTACCCTGTCTCACTCACAAACACTCACCAGTCACACCAACAGTGGACACAGGGCCCACGCGCCGCCCCTCGTGGAGGCCATACAGGTGCATCTTGTACTTGCGCCCGGGCTCCAGGCCCCCCACGGTGACCTCGCTCTCCTCGCCCCCGACACGCACCACCTGGGGCCACCCATCCCTGTCCTTGTACTGCACGGTGAAGGAGTCGAAGTGGCCCTGGGGGACGGTCCAGGAGAGGCTCAGCGAGTCAGGGGAGGCTCCTGTCACTGTCAGCTCCCCCAGGAGCGGCTCCTCGGGGGGTTCTGGGGCCTCCGTGCTGGGTTCTGTGGGGCTGGGGGTCTCTTCCTCTGCAGCTGAGGAAAAGGGACACAGAGAGAGTGAGGCAGGGTCCCTGGGGGATGCCCTTGGGACTTGGGGAAAAGGAGGGAGAAGCCAAGGCTGTGACTGGGGGTCCTGAGGTTGGCTCAGAGAGGCCCATTCTTGGGGCTGGGGGGTCCTGCTCAGCAGACAGCTAACACACACGACAAGCTCTGAGGTCAGTGGTAGGGAACTTGGGACAGCCACCAACAGAGCTCACAGGGCCTGTCTCCGCCCAGGAAGACCTGTCAGTCCTCAGGGAGGTCGGGAAAGGCACAAAGGTACCATGGCTCAGGCAAGAGCAGAGGGGCTTCCTGGGCCAGTTCACCCATCACCAGAGAAAGAGGGACCCTCCCAGAGGCCCCACCCTGGGGCTTCCACCGTCCACTCACCTGTCACCCCGATGGCAGACACGGGGCCCACGCGCTGGCCACCGTGGAAGCCGTACAGGTTCATCTTGTACTTGTGGTCTGGCTCCAGGCCCGAGATGGTGACCCCGTCCTCGTGCCCCGGCACCCGCACTGCCTTGGGCTGCCCGTCCCCGTTCCTGTACTGGACCAGGAAGTGGTCAAACTGGCCCTCGGGGACCGTCCAGGACAGGCTGAAGGAGTCGGGGGTGGCGTCCGTTATGGTCAGCTCCCCCAGGCGAGGCTTGATGGGGGGCTCAGGAGTCGTGGTGGGTGCTGCTTGGGTGGTCTCGGCTTCATCCTCTGGAGCTGGACAGACACACAGGGGGACAGTAAGGTCCCTGGGTCCTCAGTTCAGCATAGAAAGGATGTGTCACAAAACACAAAGTGCCCAAGAGCAGGACGATGCTGCCCACAGCGGCTCCAGCACAGCTCTCCTTCCTCCTCCCTCCTGTGGCCTTTCCTATCCCTCACCC